ATATATATATATATATATATATATATATATATATATATATATATATATATATATATATATATATGTATATATATGTATGTTTATCCGTATTCAGTGTACGAAATTCAAGCGCCAGGGTAGACTGCTTCCTTCGAATAGATTGACAAATCCAGCATTTATCATCATTCAGTGCATTTATTGAAAACAAACGCGTATTTATGTGACATTCTCTTTACGTGGTGTTTCACTCGTGTTTCGTAAATTGTTAGTGATCGATAGCATCCCAGTCGTTTGCGACTGTTTGCTAGTCAGCAGGTAGCTGTGTCGTAGAAGCGTACATTGGTAACGAGAATCGCCGAATATTTTATATATTCAGGAGCACCATCAAGTTGTGCTACATTTTCCGAAAGAGAAAAGGGGATAAACGACGTTCAAGGTTGTATTCATACTGAGGATATCTTTCTCGTAGTAACGTGCAATTGTGACTTCTAGATATTTAATATTTGTGCTATCGGCAATATATCCATGAATACAACCGATAAGTTTGTGTGTCGAAATGAACGATCCAAATCGCTCTGTGATCGAGAATATAATCTGAAAACACGAGTTGAATGTGTATTTATCGCAAGCCAAACATCACCCCGAGATCAATTACGCGCGATGAACCGTCTACAAACGGGACGATCAGGTATCACGTTGTTATTTGTTTGTTATTTAACTATCATCGGATATAGATGGCGATCGACGAGGTCAGTAGTTTATTGTTCAAGATTTCAATTTCCACCGATGACATGAGAAAGAGAGAGACGCGGTGTAAAATGTTCGGTAGGTCCTTCCTTTTCCTCCGCGCTCTCTCGCCTCTTCAAAAAGGAAAAGAAGAATAAAAACCGAGAAATGAGAGTTTAATTGTCAAAGGAGCGGTTGTGATCCCTCGATATGCGTTTTGTCCGAGAGATTCATATATTATATACAGATATTATATTTGTAAAGGGTTGGCCGGTCGCGATTCGACGATGCTTTATTAAAATAAGTAAGCGAGACACGCGTACTCTCGCGGCGAGGAGTTTGTTCGACTATCGTGGGTTGTTATACATCGTTCGAATCGCGACGGAATGCGCCATGCAATGGCATCCTAAAGATGTAAAACTTTCAGATAATAAACATGCATATTGTTGTACAAAACTCTCATCGTCGTCTTACTGTTTTGTTTGCACGCTCCCTCGGTGGAAGGTCGACGTAAGACTATAACGCGTCGATCTAGTCGTTGTTGGAACGTTATTATCTTTTATAAGTAATATTATTATTATTATATAAGTTTTCAGATTGCTGCGAAACAATTTTTCAACTTGGCTTTATATTTATCTTAGAAATGATATACTTGGAATCGTTGCAATTCACACATCATTGAAATTCATACAACAGTAAAATTACGAGATTGTCGGAAGTTGATCTGGATACTCGGATGAATCAACAATCATGTTGTAAAATTTTGGCAGTGTTTCTTTTATTTCGTAGACAGATCACGATTGAATAGTACAATAAAACATGTGACGGAAGATGTTAATAAATAAATAAAACTCCGTGGACAATATGATAAGAGACGCCAAAGCCCTTTCGGAACGTTTCCTCTCTATCATTTTTTGTAGATTCTTTTTTCGGGCATTATTTTCCTTTTTTCATCGTTTCTTTCCGTATGGCGCCGGATAGTCATCAGTAGACGTGAGCTGCAAAAGAGAGACAGAGAAGCGTTGGTCAAACGTTGGTGAAAGAGCGAGATGGCACGATTGTGCACACTTATGGAAAAATACTCCGGCGGTGATTTGAAAAAATCCCAGCGATCAATCGTCGCGCTTATCGACACGATAATTTGTTATTTTTCCATAAAAGTCTAATTGCGAGATTCCTAACGGAGGATGTACGTCTTTTCAATTTGGCTAGTAAAATTCTCGATTATTATTCAATCCGAACGTACATCCTCCCGGGGAGATCTCTGGACAGGACGACGGGAATGTGATACAATGTACAGTTAAACATTGGAAAACTCGTAAGTTCTTGCATGTCCTCGTTACACACGGCGTAATGTTTCGACCGTGGCTGACAACAGCAGTTAATTGTTCCGATCGATCAGTACGAAATGTATGGTTAAGTTACTACTGTGTGTATTAATATCGATCGCTAGATACGAATCTATGACGCAGCGAGAAGCCTGGCAAACTATCTCGAGCGAGTGATAACGATTATTTAAGATACATCGGTGATTAGCTGAGCGGCGTATACTACATCCAGCGGAAATATTACACCGTGAATGAACGAGGCCCAGGGCCCACTTCGCCTGGGTATTCATATTGTACAAGTGTCTCTCACTAGAAGAAAATTCCGAGTCGGTTGTACACATATTAGAAGATGTTGAACACGAAGAAACGTACGAGTAAGAGAATGATTTTTGCAAATACAGGCTCACGCACAGACCGCCGTATGATGATTGCGAACAACAACTTTATAATTAAGAAAAGAGAGACGACTACGCGAGAGGAATTAGAATAATGATGATGTTCGTCCGAACCCTTTGGCTACGACGCTTCCGGCTGTCGTTTCTCCCGTTCTCGAGGGACAGCGGCAAAAACGGCGAGGATGGCTCTCGATATTTAATACTAAAACGTCGATTCCACAAGCGGCGTGAAATGCGATATAAATAATAATCGCGAGCAATTAACACTAGAAGATACATTTCTTTTCATCATAAGGTATAATATTGAATTTTGAATGTAATCGAATTTTCCATATTTGGAGAAAAAACTGCCCGAATCCTTCTAGTGTTAACGGAACAAGTGGTTATGCAGCGATCGAAATGGAGTTTTTAATCACTGTGCAAACAAAAATATCGCCACGAAACCGGGCAGCAAACGAATTTGTACATGCTGGGCACATACCGCGTGTTCGATATTCTGTCGGCGGAGCTCCTCAGCGGAGTAGAGGCACGGTAATTAAATTAATAATTACCACACGTTTCTAAGAACATTCTTGTAGCGACAACACAGTCTGGGAAAACATTCGGGAAAGAAAAAAGAGTTAATTGCACAAGTATGTGTGTGTGTGAGGAGGTGGGATATTTTGACATCGGTTTCCGAAGAGAAAGACACGCGTGGTAGCCCAAGGGTATCTTTTCCATTCAAATCAAACAGCCGTCGTGACACGGGCATATCACGCCTGTATATACGCTTATCACTCAATGGTTACACAGTCTACTTGCATGTTAATGGCTCAGTATATACGTTCAATGTGACGTAAACCGTTTTGTCGTGATGCCACCACTAATCCCCTGATTATTTGTCGGACTTATTAAACGAGTAATATGGGCAGGTGGGGGATTGCGAGGGATTGAAACACATCGGCCACTCGAATCGTATCGCTCACTTTTTTCGTTTAATACGTGGTACGTTTATTGTACCACGGGCTGGTAAAGTGAAATCGTGGAACTGGCTGCGAATAATAGTAGTATAACGCTCCTGAAATGATAGACATTCGTTTGCTGTAGCATCGGTTTTACAATTAGATCTCTTTACGTCGAACGAACTGTCGAAACAACATTTCGCGCCGAAAACGCGACGAAAAAATATTAAGTCGGTCCGAGGAGGTCGCCAGCTTGGCAAGCGGGTTCATTCTCGATTTTGCGGATTGACGCGGCGATGTTGCGCTTGTGCCAAAAACGTCGAGCTGCCAAATATCTTTGTATGGTCGCGGCGATTTTCGATCGACGAGAGATATACCGTTCCCGTTTCCCGACTGGCTTCTTTTCGCGAATTATACAGAGAGGCGAAAGAAAGATGTTTTCGCCAGTTTCCCTCTGTGAACGTTCTCTGTGGAATGGGGGATGAAAAATTGTCAAAATATCCGAACTATTCTATTGGCAAAAAGATAGACGGCTGTATGACTTTCAATCTCGCGAAAATGAGTGAAAAATATGCAGAACCCAGTCTGTACTCAACGTGCTGAAAAGAAAATACACGTTCCAGACTACTATATCTCGCTGTTTGACATCTCTAGCAAGAATTTCTTCGGAACAACAACATGTTATTTTTATCTCTCACGACAGTAGTATTATAGTAGTCTCGAGTATTTTGCGATTCGCTGGCTACAGGTCCCGTCCTTATTCTGAATTCGCGTTTATAGATCGCACTTTCTTTCGATAAAAGAATAGCAATTCGGATAGCACCTATAGCCAGTATTCGTCAGCGACCGATGCCATTTTGAATCGTAGTGTAAACAATCGGTCGTTGGCGGGAACGAACGAGAGGACGAAAGGTCACACGTACCGAAGGGCCTGATGGGATGTCGGCTCCACAGATAGCTACGCTTAATCGGACTGAGGTAGCTGTCCCTCAAGTAAAACGGTGTGCGGTATTGAGCGTAGCTCGGTATGTAAGGCGCGTAGCTCGGGTACCACCACGGGTCCCTGGTGAATGCGCTGATGGGCGCCATTGGTGATGGCTCCAGGAGATCGAAAAACGGCTTCTTGCGCAGCAAGATGGACGGACGCGGCAACAAGAAGTCGTCGTCCACGAGATTACCTGCACGAACGAGACGTTTGTGACTGGCGGTCGTCAGGCGGTCGGCCGGCGGACGAGCCGTCGAGAGGGAGGGAGGGAGGTCGGTATTGTTTATAAATATATACTAATTGCGTAAGTGGCCTTGGAGCTCAGCGAAATATTATTAGCATTGTTTAGCGCGGGGGGATGCTACGAGAGAGATAGGCTGCGAGCCGTTACGAGACGAAACCTAAGTAGTATTGTTATTTGTGGGAACGTCTCGTCAATCGATCATTGTCTCTCACCGTAGATGTCGAACAATCGTTTCGTAGTGAGCGGCGGACTTAGGTGGCGAGCCAGAAGCGGCGATTTGCTCGGGTAGAGCCTGTCGATGTCCGCCAAACGGTTTAGATGGTCGGTCCAGGCCTTCTCGGCGTCGAATGCTTTCGCTGTATCGCGTAATATTGCCGGAAATGAAAGCAGAGATATACGGCGATTTAGACATTTTCTTCTCGAACACTTCTCGCGATTGATCGATGCCGCGGACGACGCTCAACTGAACCGACAAATTTCCTTTCTTCCTATCGATTCGCCTTTACTTTATCGTCGTATTTTACGATTCGTCCGGGAAATGTAATCGATATATAACATCTTGGCTTTTTTTTTGGCATGCGTACACGCAAATATCCGACGCGTATCGCTAGATCGATCTCGAGGAGTGTATTCGCTCTTTTTCGTCGTTACGTCTGTTCGATGAATGCTACGCGAGCGCATAGAGGAGAGAGAGAACGATGATTTTACCAACTTTTTCAAAAGGAGCACTTCTTCCGAGTGCAGTGTCTCTTACGTGAATCCTTTATGCGCCGCCAATGCATCACTATTTAAGCGATATCTTTCGTGTTGCCGATTTGAAATTACAATACGCGTGCTCATCGTTCTCTTTTTAAAGTTAACGCGAAATCTTTCATTATTCTCGTTCAATTAGATCGGTCTTTCTGTAATGAGAAACATGCCAAATTTAAATTCTGATCAATAACTTGCCGGATTGGTCAAATCATTTTTTCTGCTGTATGCCGAATTGTGCTTTGCGCTTGCGCTTCTTTCTTTTTTTTAGTATTTTAGCGCATAGGCGAACTTTTCATCATTTTCACACACTGCATACATTCGTTTCCACGATAGAAATCGAAACGCGCGCGCGCACACACACACACACACACACACACACACACGTACAAATCATGCGCGAGCATGCGTCGAGTTCGAAACAAAATACAGGCGTGTAGTGAGCGGAGGGATGATTATTTGAGAAAATGTTTCTACGAGTTATTTGTATCTCTACGTGGTTAGGTATACGAGCGACATGTACCGCGATATTCGCCGGATACAATTGTCGCGTTACACCGTTACACCGAAAGAATAAAGTCGTTGCACAAACTTTCTGCTCAAAATTACAAGTCGCGCTTCGTTCACGGGAAGCGCGGAAAGTATTCAAGCGCTACTAAGGGGGGTCCTGTCCCTCGTTTCTCATATCCTCTTGTAAGCGTTTCTACTACAAGAATCAGATCTTTCTTTACATATATCGGGATACTGTCACTAAGAAAAGCTGGCGAGCTCGCGCGGCCACGCGCGAGTCCGCGTGCGAGGAAAAAGCCAGCGCTATCAAAAAGAAGGAGAAGTAAAGTAGCACGACGTCACGTAAGGTTAAAAAAAAAGCATACTAACCTGGTGGAAAAAAGCTGCCTCAAAAAGTCGCTGACGGAAAAAAGCTGCGACGGTTCGTTCGGTCGTAAAAAAGTAAAGATAACTCGGCTCGTTAATTGAAAATGTCGAATTTCGGAAAAAAAGAAAGGAGGCGATGGTCGAGATTGCTAAGGTGCAATTGTACTAGTGGATCAAGCTAATTGAAGCTCGTTGCTAGCTGTCAATCTAAAACTGCCTCCACATAAAAATATCAACGCGTAGAGTTGTCACACCACACGACTTCCTGATTCGAATGAAACTTTGCCGGAAAAATTAAACGGATCAACGCTTCATTACAGATAGGTACGTACTAATTTCAGGCGTGTACAATCGTCGTCCGATGTAAGAATTATATACAATGTTTGACGATCCTGTGTATACGTTGCGACGATCCGTATGCGTCCGTGTGATCGTCATAAATTAGCAGTCGTTAATTAATGCAACGTCCCAGTCGCGAAAGAATTATATTTGGCGGAGATGGCTCGCTTAAAAGCTAAAATCCGGGACTTAAGGAGACCGGGGGATTAAGAAAAAGTACATGCCATATCCTGAAAAAGATAGAAATTTCTGGATTTGGTTGTAATTAATTGCACGTTAATTTGTCCATTGTTAGTAGATATTCGGTACGCGTGCATGTATTATTGCCGATTAGAGCGTGTATTAAAGAGAACTTTCGATTTTTCCTTTCATCGCCCTGAATCTCCCTCATGATTTAACACGCGTGTCGGATTTGTAGAAAAGCCTGCCAAAGAAATGTATTGAAAATCACTTTTTTGTGTCGCAATCGTTAATGACGAGCACAATATTTACACACTGTACACACGGTAAAAAGCTTCTTTTCCTTTTTTGGGCTGAGTGAAAATGTAAACCTTCATTTGAACCATAGATATATGCATACAGTGTATGCTCGTACTCGAAACATATACTCGTTTCAAAGAAATTCAACAACAAAGTGGAGAGAGACGGTCGACGAAATATCGACGGTCCGAAAAATCGAAAGTACGAATTAGAACGCGCAAGCGTCGAGAGAAAATTTCCAGCTTTTTCAAGTTTTGGCGGCCATCTTCCGTCCCAATTTATTATCTTTTCTTCTTTTTGAAAAGGAGATTCCTTTCGCACGATTTCCTTTCTTTCTTTCTTTCGCAGGCTCTTGCTGCCTGTTCGCTCGCGTGTCATACTTTTTTCCGAACTACCACACGTTCATCATACATTCCGTGCAGTCCCACTTCTGCATTCTCATAATTATTTTCTAATTTGTTATACGGTTGTGTACAATGTTGTCTAATGTTTATCGACGATCAGAAAAGCGAGTTCGCCGCTTTATTCCACATTCGATTCGCCTTTTTAAATCTCCCTTTCGGCTTAAATTGGCTTTTTTGCGATCAAGCTGCTACCTCCACTTCAGCTGCAAGAGTTAAGGATTTCTGAATAGTGCGTGCTCGCATCCTGTCCTTGTGATTGTCTCGTGTGTCAAAACACATTTACGCCGAATAGAATAATATCTGAGAGATGCATAAATTAAACATTTTATTTTATTTATTTTTCTGCCTTCTTCTAACTATGGTTTTTACAGAGAAGGGTTTTATTTTTTGAAAAAAAAAAGATCAATTTCGAATCGAAATTTTTATTGCAACTTTCGTTCAACTTGGAGGATCAATGGGGAGAATCGCAATATTTTCATCATTATTATATAACACTGTCCCGACTTGTTAAAAGACGTTTGATAAACTTATCGAAAGTAAGGAGAAATCCGAGCACATCGACAGTTAGGCTGATATATATATTCATGGTTTATTTTTATTTAATAAATTCGTCACAGCTTTTTCTCTAGTTATTCATCAATCTGTACTTAATTCATGTAAAAAGTATTAATCCAAGTAGTTGACTGACGGACTAACCAATCTATAATTATGCTCTCGATTAATTGTAATTAATTTACAATCGTGAATATCGGTCTCGCAACTCATGATATGTGCGTCTGATAAAGTTCTTTGAAACGCAAGTTTAATTTTCAATTTACCCACGCTTTTTTTCCACTTTTGTTTTTCATTGTCCTCATTATTATATCGAATATAAAATTTAATCTTGATTATTGCACAGAATTGTTGGACGCAATTGCTATTTTCAATCTTTACATCTCCTTTCTTTCCATCCCTTTTAAGTATTCAAATGTTATCGACATTTCCAACACCAAAAAAAAAAAAAAGAGATAAATTAAAAGATTGTGAAAAGTTCTCTCTTTTTATCTAATTTTATTTGTCCATATTATCAACTCGTATAATTCTCGATTCTCCATTGAATCTTCGATTTTGACGGAATTTGCAAGGTAAAATCGAATCAGTCTTCGAGTTGGGATACGTATTTTATTACACTTAACCTATTAACCGGGTCACTTTCAGGTCGGAAATGATTTCGGAGGTAAATTGAGCAAATAAATGTAATGTATGTCAGATGATATGGTGCTTTCTTATCGTAGGAGCGAATAAATGAATGTTATCATTGCTCTTTCCACATATAAAAGTTTCGTTATTTAGTAAATAATAAATTAATTTGTCTCCTCTCCGGTTAACAGGTTAAATATTTGGACATATCAATCACTAAGCAAATCGAATGCATTTACGACGATGCGATAATTTATTAGCGCATATTTCATATTATCTTATTGTATCATATAATATTGCTGGATTGAAAAAGAAGTATGAAAAATGTACAAAGTATATTTGTCAAGATAAATATTTTTCGCAAAAATTTGATTGCGGTGTCAACTCGTCTTTTCGAATTCCTCGCACATAGCAAGGTCTTCTCACGCATTCTCGTGAAATTTCAAATTTTCAATTTTTCAATTCCTCATCACATCGCCGGTGTTTATTCGGGATGGCTTTTTCTTTCCACGGTAAATTTACTTCCGTAGAAAGTCGTGGGATTCTCTCGACGATCGTCTCAGCACATCGAAAAGAAAGGAAGGATCGAGTGGATTGTTTAGGATAAGTGATAGATGTAGAAATATGAGTGAATTTCGCATGTTATCAAAAAGCACCTAACATTCCGAAAATAATAAAATAAATGTCATATGTAAAGTATAAACTTACGTATATTTATTCCGTACAAAATTTTGGTAATTTATACACATACTCTATGCAATGGTTTAAAGCTATTGAAAAACTTTTATCGCAAATTGCGTGCGACGAATTAATATCTCTTCAACACATTCCGCACATCTGTTGTTCTTAATTTCCATATTAATTCGTTCAATGAGCTGACATCAAATACCCGAGCGTAATAAAACCGTACGAAAAATTAGTATCGTTTTTTTGAAAAGGCATCAAGGGGTTAAATAGTCAGCGGCAATCGTAATATAAAATAAAATTTTGGATCGAATATTAAGACGTGAAATAAACTCTCGTTTGCTCAACTACGAGTAAAAACGCGTGTATGTGTGTTATCCATTTACAAGCGTGGGAACACTATAAAGCAGGATTATCGGGAATTGTGCATGACGTTAGTCGATCGTCTTTCGTAAGCAATGACGTCGAGCTCGGGAGGTGAGCATAACTCGCTCTTTGGTCTCCCATTTACGGGAGATCTGTTGGCGTCTAAGGTCACTCAAATCGATGATGCGATTCAGTATGAGCCACTTGTTGAGTCTAGCGCCTGGAAAGAAATCAGAATCTCTCTCAGACGATAACGAACGACGATGACGATGACGAATTGACAAACGATACCCCATGCCGATGACAAATTGTCTTATCGACGACGATGTACTAGGAAACGCTTTCTTTCTAGTCACGAGGGCGACATCTCGAACACGACACGACACATGATCCATGATCGATGAACGGTGGTGATCGATGATCCGTGACACCTGAATGCTCAATTCGTCGTTAGAGATGGTCGTTGTTACATATCGATACTGAAGAAAACTGATCGGGATAGTATTTTGCCGAAATTAGATGGTTAATCGGGATTTATTGATAGCGCGCGATATGTGTAGAGATGAGGAAAGTATTTTCGTGTTAGAACGTATGTAGGCAGCATGAGCCAAAGAAAACATTATTTCGTATGATTTGTGCGAAATTTTATACGTCTAAAATAAGTACATATTTTGCACAAGTCAGTTGTTTACAAAATATATAGAGTGAAAAGTTTTACTCGGCTCATCCTGCACAACGAATAATGAAGATATATCAGATTTAAAAGATTATGTTTCCCTTCTTAATAGTAAATTACGTTTGCCTTGATGCCGTGATTCAAGATCTGTCGAATTAGAGCGCTCTGATAACGAGAGTAAATATTAATTCTAATTTTCTAGGGAAACTTCGGCGATTGTAACAATCTTGTTAAAAGTTTTATGATTGTATCTGTTACATTCACCAATTAGATCATTAACATCGCATATCGTGTCAAAATTTCGACATTTTTTTCCAATCGGCTAAACATCTCTTAAAACTGTTACCATCGAACCAAGTCTCTCTGATGAGGATTCAAAGACAGGGACATGACTCCGAGTAGAGTTTTTGCGCGAGACAGAAAAATCGTCGGTTATATTTAAACATATTGTGTGTATATATATATATGTATATATTTATACGTACGTATATATAGATGCATTTTCTCTCTCATATAGCGATATATATATATATAAGTATATAATAACTTAGATACAAAGAGATGCATAAAGTAATTAGTATTACACATGGCATGGTATGAAAGTAGGCAACGATCATTTAATCGACGCTATTGCGACTCACGGTGACGCTAAAAAACACGAACCAACAAAATCGGCACGTACACGCATGTCCGAGGAAAAAGTTTGCACACGTATTTTACATATGTCGGAGGCGAGCGACACATGAAACGTCGGGGGGTAAGGGAGATAATAATGCATAACGTTTCGGTCTTTCTCTCTTCTTCTTGGTTAAAATGGTATGCAAACAAGGAGGATGAAAGGCAAGAATGCGATACGGAAACGAAAGGGCGTTTCTGGCTTCTGAGAAAGGCCCGAAGAATCTATGAATGCGGTGCGAAAAGACAATGTCTCTCGTGGAACGATGGTTATTTTCTCTCTTTTTTTCTTCTTCCTCTTTAGAACGCCGGGCAGAAGCCAAAAGCACCGGGTTACGCATCGAGAACTTAATCTAGGAAGAACAGGTGTTGTTATTTGTTAGCGGCTTCGACGGTGAGGCGGGGTGGGAAAATTGAGGGTTCGGTGACTTTTCGTATATCCCATTCTCATGCTCGTTCTTGTTCTGCTGTTATTCATTTAACTTTCATCTATTCCATTTTCTGCGATCTCTTCATCGCGCTCCTCTCCCACATCTTTTGTCCCTTTTCTTCTCGTGCTTTCTTTTTCTCTGTCTCTTATTCCGTGCTTTCGTTCTCCCGTCTTTCGCTCTCGTTCGATATCAAGATATTATAAAATTTCGTTTCGTTTCGCGCTTTCGATTCTTTCTAAGACGCCGTTCACTTTCACTCTCTCTCTCTCTCTCTTTCACTCTTTTTCGCTTTTTCTTTTTGTTTCGGACTTTTGCTTATTAGTACGTACCGGGGACGAAGCGTTCTACGGGTTTGTACTGATGGGGATACAGCTGCCTCGGCGAGTAGCCGTAAATCTCACGATGCACGGGTAGATACCTATAGGAGAGGAAAAAAAAGAGAACGTTAGTGCTCGAAGAAACCGCGCAAAATTACTTATTCTAGTCAAACATTCCTATATTTTTGTCGCTGGGATAAAATTGTGAATTAAAAAGCATCCGTTTTCATTGATAATAATATAGTTAAAATACATATAAGAATTGATTTTTTTGTCAGGAAAGTAGGCCGTCTTAAAGATGCTTCAATTTTAATTGATTCTTGAAAACTCAATGAATCTTGAGAACTCGGTGAAAAAAAAAAGAAAAGTTTAATCAGTTTCGCACGAACGAACGTACGATAAAAATGGAAACAAAAATGTATCATACCTGTATCCGGGAACATTGATACGGTCGGCTGCGTGAATCGGGTTTTCGAAGATTGACTTTCCAAACGGCCACGAGGTGGAATGCAGCTCAGGAAATTCCGAGCGGAAAATGCTGCGGGGTCTGTGAGTGTGCTCGGGAGCTCTGATATCGTCGGTACCTGTTTTCGTTTCGTTAAAAAGTACGTTTGACATTTCATTCATCGGGAGAGACAATTGCTTCAATCGGAAGGAACAACCAAATCCACCGTCCAATTGGATCTTGTAAACTGTATCTTTCAATCGAAAGAAACAAAATAAAAAGTATCTCACCTTTCAAGGCCCGTACGTAACTCTGCCAAAATTTCGCCTTCCTTGTGATAGGCTCGTTGCGTCCGATCATGTCGAGATTGCTTCTGAATCGTGCGTCCATTTTACCACTCCGCTGAACTGCTAACCACGCTCGTTCGCTGTGACAAAAGGAAAATAAACGTTCGACCGCGTGTTTGTCAGAGAGATTTGCGTATCAACAACGAGACTATGTTTGATTTTGCGACGTGATAACGTTTAATATCCTAGAGAAATCGCTCTTCCTAGCGCGAATGCAACCATACACGTGGAAAAAAGTCATTGAAACAATTATAAAAGACATCTGTGCCGAAAAATTTCATATACTTTTTATCACTTTTGTTTTTTAAATTCATGATAACTTTCCTTCACTTTGTATTATATATGCTATTATATTTATCTTTTCTTTGTACTTTGTATTGTAACTTGATATTTTTTGCTTGCGCACACCTATGTTCATACAGTTCGGTCTTCCATCTTTTCATTGCTTATTCTGTTAGATCACTTATTGTTGCTAGTATTATTTAATATTATTATTATTATCATTTATTTATTTCTGAGCTAGGTATGCTACTTCCATTGTACCATATAGCTAACCTTCCTATAAATAAATAAATAAATAAATAAATCACTGATATTCTTGTCGGCTGACGTTTAATATCGATTGTGATGACCAAATTTATATAACTGATTACACGTTCCTTTAACGAAATTATTATAATCGATGCGACGTAGCAACGTCGCAATGAAGACAAATAGAATCGTTCGATCGTCCGAAAAAAATCGATTTTGACAAATTACTACATGGGCACACGAAGAAAGATTCATCTGCGTGAATATTTGTCATAATTCTTTCCACGTGTACGGTATAAATTTTTGTGTGTTACATTGAGAGGGAGATTAAGGTACGTCAAGAACATTAGCAAATAAGGGAAATCGTGCGGTTGTCTTTCTTGTCGCGAACACCCCCTCCCCCGCGCACACAGAAGAAAAAGAAGCATCTTACTGATTTTCTGCGTGCAGCTATCTAACGTAACCGAAGTTTCTACGAGGAAGTCTCGTTACTCGTGATATAAGAAATTCCCGCGGCCTGAGGCGATTGCATAAGCTGTCTTAAATTTAACGACTTGCGTAGGTGCGGCAGTGCTTTTTTAACCTTGCTTCGGTAAACTGTGCGCCATTTCCGCGATCCATTATCACGAGGCAGTCGTTTCGACGTCCCTTTATTTACGCGCGCGCATAAACCAATCTTGATAGATGAATTCGTAGATCCATTCGATCGATCCTAACGTTCCGCTTATTTTAATATACTAATCGAGAGTTTGTCCTTTCAGGGGTCGCTATTCGTAGTATATTAGCGTTTAAAGAAATGATCTGGTAATAAATATTAAACGCTTAATGAACGATAATTCTTAAGATATTATTTTAACAAAGAAATGTTCAGCTCAAAAAGTTTCACTCGAAATCGTTGTATGGTGCAATGTGTTATTTTTAGAACGAATCAATAGTAGTACCGTGTGCTTTCAATTCGAAAACGATCGTCATGTAGCGGCGCCCGATCGCGTGCGAAAGCAAAATTGGTCGTGGCATCCCTTGTGCCGGCCAATCGTGACACAAACGGGCGCGTCGTTTTTCTTTTTGTTGACGCAACAGACGCCGCTAATTTTAGCGTCACGCATACTTCATAGTCGCCCTGGATCGCCGGAGCGTTTTCTCAGATATTCCTGTTTCATTCTCAGCGGGAGTGACCGAAGGTCGCGAAGACCTGAGATCGAAATGACTTACTTCGCGCGCCTTTTTTTATATAAAAAGGAAAAGAAAAATGAAGGGCAAATTGAATCGTTTGCATTGAATATGTAAAGCTCGATATTACTGCAGCAGCGCGTTTTTTTCTCAAGTCGCATTGTCACGAATAATACAAATACAGTGGCGAAACTTTTTTTTTAAAATGTCGCTGCTTGGTCTCGTCGAAATTTGTGCCGGTTGAAAGTACGAAGCGACCTAATATTGATCTTCTCTTGCAATTATCGTCGGATGAGTCATAGCAGCGATATTTGATTCGTCTTTTCTGAGAGACTAACAATCAATCTGGAATTTGCGAAAAAATGTGCAAGTCGTCCCTCGAATGTCCGAGAGTCTCTCGGAAAGAGAAATCGGTCGGTTCGCGTTCTCCAGTTTGCATTCTCGGCCAGGCAAAGAGCAAGGCGTCGCGGCGCCCACGAAAGCGCGACCCGTCGTGACGCAAGAGTCCCGGATTCGCGGTCGCTATATTTAGGCTGCCCGGGCCCCGGTCTGTTTTTAGTCGGTAACAGGTGGACGTCGAAGCTTCGCGACAGGCGACACGAGTCTTCATTTGACTTTGACCGATTTTCGCGAACCCCCATCGCAGACCCCCATGGTAATGCCGCGACGATCATGACCTCGTCGTAGTCATGGCGATTTCAACACCAGACTCCAACTGACAATACGGCTCGCCGTATCTCAGTCATGTCCTCTCAATGTACGTGTTGCAGTTGGTTGGTCCTTTTCTTTCTTTTTATCAATAAAGTACTTGAAGTTTTTTTCTATCGGTGAATCATAAGAATTACAGGTATATTTAGAAAAGATTAGGGGGAGGGAAAGAGAGAAATGTTACACGAGAAAGTCCCGAGACTATCCGCGCGACATTTTAATTTTGATTAAATTTCGGCATTTCATTCATTCATTTATGTACGGCAACATGTAATTAGGCGTGAAAGTCCATCCAGAACCGCGAATTTTGATCTCAATTCGCAGCCGCTTCTGCTAGATCGCGAATATGAGTTTCGTCCGAGAATATCTTGACCTTAAAATCGTATCGCGTGGAAATGGGTTAAGCGCTTGACACCCTGACCAATTTGCACGCATCTTTGCGAAATAGTCATGAAAACCAGGAGAGAGTTTCTCAGTGTTAATAACGCTGAGTGAAAAATATCATCAATAATCCAAAAATAGTATTTCACGTATGAAGATACAGACGTGGGAAAAATGGTTTTTCTTGAGGTTATCTTGGATTACTATGACAAATTTGTCGAAATCGAATGGACCGTGCAGAACGTCTCTGAAATAGAGATGGTGTCCGACGAAAAAGCGTTTCGCATTTTTGTCGCGTGCGTAATGGAAATCAGGTCGACGCAGAAGTGTTGGGGGAAAAATGACGGCGCGTACGTGGGAGCAGAGGAGGTAGAATACATCCGGACGCGCGTGTAATCTAGATGGCTTCTAAAAATACATATGGCGTGGTCAAGCAAATCATCTGGGTCCAAAAATTGTAATACGTTGTCCGATATTTCGCGAGAGTCCGGTGGTTGATCGTCTAGTTGAAATATACTAACCCAATTAATATAATAAATAATTTTCCAGTGGACGAGAGAAGTTTCGATCGCGCGAACGTTCAAATTATGCGCGCGTTTATTCAAAGTGAGATATACTGTTTTATTCATTTTTATGAAAAATGTAAACATATCTTGTTGGAAAGCTAAGGCGCGAATTTTCAAATAATACAATTCTTTCCGTCGGTGATATTCGGTAATAAGAATACAAAATTGAAAACGTATGTTCTTGCCATCATCATGTTTGGCGGAAATTCGTACGCCACCGCGTGTGCATGCTGCAAAGATACGTCATTGGAATTGAATAATCGGCAGGTTTTTGGCACTCTTTCTCCAACACGTGCAGGGTTTCAGCGATGCGTCGCAACGGGATTACGGGTTTGTTGCGACTCTCTTCCACTTGTCGGCCTAGCATTCTTGGCGGAAAATTGCATGGCTATCCACGCGCGACCTCGTGAGAGAGCCAACTTTCACACAATACAGCCACGATTAAATAACGATATGAAGATTGCGTATTGAAAATTTTACTTGGAATCACGAGGGACAGCAAATTTTCTACCGTCGTAGCAAATAGATGAATATATGTTTTTTATATACTGCCCAATATTTTAAGATTTTTCAGATCATGAAGAAACGCACACATGTAAATCTGTCTCCATAAAATGACTTGAAAAATCAATCAATTCTCGTAAAATATTGAACAGTACTGTATGTTTACTTGTTTGCTGCGATAGCATAGAATTTGTTGAATGTTATTTTTCTCCGCGCGGATTGCGGACAGCTCGATCACACTAATGAATTTACGGAGATAATTAAAATTATTGCAAATATTACGGAAGCAAAAATCACAAGAATTCAGGCGAACACCTTGTTTCCAAGGCATTTCCAAGGCAAAAGTACACATCGGTGGCGTGTACAAGCGGTAGTGTTAGAAACCCGGGCCGATGTTGAAGACTTGCCAGGCGGGCGAACGAATTTCCTAAGTGCAGCACGCTTCTTCGGCCTTGCGTGTCTCGTTAAAAGCCCGTCCGCGTGACCGTCTATCCTGTGGGGAAAACTTTCGCACATCGCGATATTAATGCCGAAACTTTATCGGTACATACACCGAGGAGACCGGCCAAGGGACCGACCAGCACGTTACGCGCTGGAACACGATAATCGCGCATATTCGCTCTTTTTCGCCGGAAAGTAGTAATCACCCGTTCGCGTCAGACGGTGTCTGACCGTTTAAGTAGATACAGACGGCGGACGCTCCTTATCGTTCACGCGAATGACGACCATCATCATCATTATTATTTTATACGTCAGATTTTTTCCTCAAGTTTCGCATTTCGATCAAAGTTGGACAAACAGGTTGGTTGAGATACATGCTGATCTATTTTACCTAATTTCGAAAGGAACTGAAAATAGTTTCAAATACAAAATGCGTTCTTCCACTACAAGTTTCGTTTCAAGGTCACGGTTCGTTTACCGAGAAGCAATCGAGGTCGCCGATAATCTCGAGAAAGTAGCGGACGGAGCGAAAATCCGCTCCTTGATCAAATTGTTTTGAGTTTTAACAGTAGAAAGGGAACGGCTATAACAGACGCGTCCGTCTTGGCGGCGAATAGGATCGGCTATTTTCGGCGGACGGTATAAATACCACGCGCGCGTGCACGTAACTTACGTAAGCTTAAACAAATCCTTGCCAATAATGATAAACAATTCGCGATCGGCACAATCGAGGGTGCCGTCGATGATCATCAGCGTGGCGCGCGAGCCTCAAATTGGTATCGCGATAGAAAGAAAAACGCGCTGGCCCCATTGCCAAGTCGCTTCCACAAAATTAGAATTCGTCGGACGCGAACGGCGGGAGGAGAGCGGGAACGATAAATTTCTCGACGTTGACAAGGTTTGTATACTCGTCGTGTACGTGAGAGAGAGAGAGAGAGAGAGAGAGGGCATTTAACAATTCTCGCGTTTTCGATCGGTGATATCCTTCGCGATATTGATCTTCCTCTTAAAATTTCTATCGCTATAAAGGTTACAAGGATTATACTTCATTAATTAACCGTAGTATCATTGAGCATGCGTTAACATGAGGAATACTTGGAGGTATCGTTCGCTCAAATGATACGTATCGTAAACAATGCATATTTCGCTATAACATATTAAGTTATGTGTTAGTGATTAGTTTACAAACGCACACACCTGTGTAAAAAAGGGGATAATGATGACAGGATAAAAATCGTTAACACACGTTAGTCAGTGGAAGAGCGAATTCCTACTAAATACATGTGTGGAGAGACGCAGCGATTAGGCGTTCCTTTTTTCACTGGCGCACAAAGTAGTTCGACCCTGGAGTATCGCGATCGCGACCCTTATCCACGGCGCACTCACGACGACGTTGTCCTTTCGCCACAGTTTTCCGATCCCTCGTCTCTTTCTCTCGTTCGACAAGGAGAGTGCTTGGAGAAAAAGAGAGAGAGAAAAGGAGGATGATGCGGGGGCCTTTACCTAAGTATTTCGGGCGACCGTTCGGTTCGGGGTTTGGACCTTAGACTGGGCGGCTGCCGCCAAAAGTGTGGGCTAGTATACCGTGGCTTGGTACACGGTAGCGCCGATCTGGCGACGGTATCCGGCAATAAGCCGCGCGACATTTATGGCACAACCCCCGCCAGCGAGACGCGATTGGTGGAGATGCGTCGATCGTGGGTTGGAAGATGAGGAAAAGAACGTGCGCGTCGTCGCAGCTTCCACCGGCCGCCCTTCGGACAGCTCTCTCTCTCTCTCTTTCTCACCGATATTCTCTCGAGGCTACGCGGTTTGTGAGCGAAATTTACGATGTCGATACCGGAGGTACCCTCCGATGACGTTGTAGGTAGATCTCTCGTATACCCCGGGAATTTCATCGCGCGAATCCGTTATGTAATGTTCACGCTTTCCGCGAGAGCGAAAGTGTGTACATTTATATGATTTTCTCGTATCGTTGAAACATTTTCTTCGCTGATTTAACTTCGTACTTTATTCGCGGATGTAGATCACTACGAAAAAAGCTCCATTTATGTCGAAAACGAAGCGCCGCTTAATTTCCGGAATAGCGCCAACGACTGTAAATCATCTCGGCGGTCCTAATAATGCGATAAATTAACAGTTTATTTTCCCGCGACGGGCGTCGTAACCGAGGTGTCGATATTTGCGCCAAAGTCGTGAAAGTCAGTTCTAGTGGCGATTTACGAAAGCGAATCACGCGGCAAATATCGACTCACGCTTATTTCAAATATATTCGGTTTTTTATTGTATTTTTTGGAAATACACCACCGTGTGATTTATGACGACGCGTTCGAATTTCTAAAAAAGCCGCGTCGGATCGCTCTCGTGCGTTTCCTTGTCAATGAATATCCCTGGTATATTTTTACTCTCTTGAGCCTTGAAGCACCGTGATTTAGTAATACTGTAAATTTTATTGACATAAAAGAAAGAAAGAAAATTTAATATCATATTTTATATTACTTTATTGATAAAAATATTGTTATTCTTCATAATAGAATTGTATCGATCGGAATGACAATTGTGATGTCAACATTAAATAGCGTGATACCTTTCTATCACTTAGTGTCTACACTTAGTGTTTATTTAGAACGCGAAATTATGTTAACGGTTTATAGTGGTGTTTACGTTACCGATAATCATTCGTCCGAAGTATATGTCAGTGGAATCGTCAAAGATTTGACAGAATGAATAATAGAGTTTGCGTAAATATCTGTGTTTACAACGGCGGTGACGTCAATTGGCCTTTAAAATGTACGTCATGTGTCGAGAAAAGAATACCACTTTGAATACCAGACAGACGTGTCGACCGCGAAGAATGTTAGTAAAAGTGCATTATTAGCAAATTATGAATCAATTTTCCAAAGTAGAAAAACGCGATCGATGCTCTCAGGAAGAATACGTACGCTCGCAGTAGTATTATCGATTCAAGCAGAGGGTACTGTCCGGAAGTGCGGTCGCAGCGATTTCTCACGCACCACAATTACAAAGGGTTTCGTGCAAATGTACTAACAAGGACGGTAGAAAGGTGATCTTTTCGTTTCTGGCACTTCTCGGTCATTCGCGCGCGCGGCCTCCTAGCACACATATACCGGGTGCGCTAAATGCGACGCTATTTTTGTTACCGCGATCAGCCCGGCGATTCGCGACGGTGAACACGGAGAATGCATTTATTTTCAATTCGGCCACGGCCAGAGACGATCGGCACCCAGGATCTCACGGTGACACATGCGCCGACTATGCGAGTTGTACACCCAGAGGTCAAGACCCGTCGATGCACACAGGTGGCGAAGACGTCATTGCGGACGTTTAATCAGCACCGTAGCTCTTCGATTGATGCGTTCCTTCAGCGGACTTTATTTTCACTGCCCGATCTTTCGTTTAAGAGTTTAATCGAAAGAGACGTAAGCCCGATTACTTCATCGCGCGGTAATTCCGAAAAGCTCGCGGAGTTCTCCACTTGAATTACTTTCTCGCGGTTTGGCGCAAATTTCTCGCGTTTTTCGAAGCTATTGCGGAGCGTGTAAAATTTCGGCGAGAGGTCGTTCACTTTTTCCGCTTCTCCCTGCGATCTAATCTGCGTTGCGTGACTAGCGAAAACGAAAGACTTTCGAATTGGCACGAGCTATAAGATAATCGGCTTGACTTGACACTCTCTGAACTAAAAAAGATACGATCGGCGGTGAATGAGACCCGCGGTTAAAATTGTAATCGTGACGAATAAGTTCGGAGAGAGGGAATTCTAGTAATAAAACAAACGTCGTATTCGTGCGTAATACCGGCGTCGGTTCCTAAATTTAAGTTTGCCCATCGACTCACCAACGGTTTTCCCTCCCTAGAAAAAGATACATTCGCACGTGTGAAGCAACGAATGTAGGCGTGCGCGACGTCGTCGGCGAAAAGTTGGCGATTGTTTGTTTTTCGCCGGCTGGATATCGCCGAAAGAGAGATGCGCGAAAATCAATATGAGGCGCTCGTAAAGCCCGTCGCTGATCCCCGGCTAAATTGAAACTTATGAGTTTTCCAGTCCACACGTCTCGCCCGCCATTCCTCTTCGCCGTTAAGGAGACCTCGTCTCCTTGGTAACTGCCTTATTAGCTGCTCTCCTCGCCTTACGAGCCTCGCGAGGATCCACCGGTCCTGAATTTCGCAGCCTCTCTCGCACTTTTCGCGAGTAATTATCGTTGATCGCGGCATGGGACCGATCCATCCCATTGAAAGATATTTAGGCGATTTGGGTGGGCTACCGTTCAACCGTCATTCACGCGGTGGCCCCATTTCCACGGACCACATGGGCCAACGACAATGCCGCGCGGCACAATGCGTGGAAAGTACAAATATTTTGGACGGGCGCGATTTCACGCCTCCCTATACTCTTCTCGACAGTTGAGAAAGTATATTTGTCGGTGCTTTCCAATTTCGCGCAGCTTTTCCTTCAAGAGCATCGGATGCAAAACTTTCGCAAAGGCATCAATTTGTACATACACGATGAGAAAAAAAAAACGTTTGGTCGCGTTACCAACCGCGTTTATGTCCACCTGGTGCGTCCCAGAATTTGTCAGCGGCTGCCTCCCGGTACGTGACTTTGGCAGAGATTTTCGAAATTTCACGCCCATTACCATTGTCAATCGGCAGATGTCGCGTAACAAAAGGACCTTTCTAATATCTACGAATAAAAGTGGATGCGCACACGGTGTCGTTGGTAAGACTTCCTCGTCAAAGTTTTAGACGCTCATCTACCTCGATCATCAAACGTTCTCTCCCCCGCATTTTTTCACTTGATGAAATCCTTTTTTTAAGGTGCGAATATTACCGGTATAAGGGAGATGTGCGTGATGACAGCGGTCAATTTTAAAGCTCCCTTCATCGGCCTTCCTAAAGCGTCCACGCAGGCCGTTTTTATAGCGGGCGCGCTTGATTAAATCTCATCAATCTTTATTAGGCGACAAGGCTTCATATCGACAGCGATTTCACGATGACGTTAGCCGGGGGACCCCATGGAAACCCCCGTCGGAGCCATGAATACGTTTATGGTGGCGGAGGGTGAACAACCCCCTGCCAACGCTCGAAAACTCGCTAAGACAATATCCGTTATCCCCGCACTCGCCCGATATACGTGTAGCTCGGGGATTATCCTGTCGCAATTATTTGACGACATTATTCGGTTTGCCGCGGTGTAATTGACGGCTGACTTGAACCGAGTTTACGCCCCTATTGGCTTATTTTAATATCGCCGAGTCCTATGCATCGTTGGTGGGAAACTATTAGAGTGTGTGAATATCTCTCATAATTATTAGGCTTCGAAAGAGTCAAAAAAGACAAGTATATCTATTTTCATTTTAATAGTATCTTTGTAAAGATTGAAAACAAATTTTCTTTCTCTGTATTGTCGTTTCGTAAATTTTCGAAAATTTCTGTCGGATTTTCGTCAAATTTGCTCATATCAGATAATCCACGAAGTAACAATAGCGCGAATGATTAAACTTCTGGTAATATCGCACAGTCCGCTAATGAATATCTCGTTTGTTCGCAAACCCATTACAATACATTACTCATAACGAACTTTAACGGTGTTAAAGCCAACGCGTAAAACAGTCGTATAAAGATCTTCTCGTTATAGCGAATGTAACGACCCGTCTTTTATCCCGCTTTATTGAATGTTCTTGTAAATAAGGCCTAAGTGTTGGCGATATATCGGGGGTTTAATGCTACCGTGTCCTCTTTTCTCTCGCCTTTCCGCTGCGTTGCGTTTCCTCATCCTTATCAACACGCACCGTCGCTAAATGAAAAACCCATAAGAAAACGTGAAATACGCCCCTTTGCGCTTTCGCATCATTCTCAATTGGCATTAACCCCGTAATCGAAAATTATTTGCACAGCTCTCTCAAAGCTTGGTCTATTTGTGTAATTAAAAACTCACGAAATCACGTTTCTCGCAAACGAATGAAATATGACCAAATTCAATAATTTATTTACCCTCGAAGCCTTACGAATACCGTCGCGGAAATCGCGAATGATGATATTTTCCCAAAAGAGAATATTAGAGAAAATCCCTTTTTCTTTTTCTTCACTTTGCGGTATACTCGTTTGCAATGTATATACATACATCGACGAACCTTCTCCGATGTAGCCAATGGGAAATCAATCCTCATGTTCCGTTTACTTTTGCAGACTGGTCGGCCTTTCATATGTTAATGACTATCGTCAGACCACCGAGTCTAATATCGACTAACGTAATCCGGGCTTGAGGCTTACGTGTGTATATGTACACACTCTCTTGCTCCGACGTTCACACTCATTCACTCGAATGGCGGTATAGCTCGGGTTTCGCCTATATGACAAGTATATTACGTTGTGCGTTTATATCAATTAGCCTCTGACGTTTCGGGGGTGTGCTTGCTCGTGAGGCTGATGCTAAAAGGGTGCGAAGAGGGTGCTCTCTGTCGGGCATACCTGATGTGAACGTTGTGAGTATCGTCAATTTTCGATCCGTTAATCCCGGCATGCATAAGAGAGACGTGTGTCTTATCCTTTGGAAATCTTCTTTCGAGTAAGCTATCTTGCTGCGATTTATAATTCTTTTTCTTACTCGAAAATTTCGACGCCCGTTTCGGACGACTTATAA